TACATACATACATACATACATACATACATACATACATACAGACTTTCTCGTCTTCTCGTCTTCGTATATGTGTGTGTCTGCTTCAATTACCAAAGGAAACACATAAATACATGAAAGAATATATACAAACACCACGAACACTGAAAGATACTTTTACAATTTTATTTTACACATCATGTTTAAGTTACTGATGCCAAATGAATATGTGAACGTGTGTGTGTGTGTCTGTATGTGTATGTTTGTGTGTCTGTATGTGTGTGTGTGTGTGTGTAAGTGTGTGTGTGTAAGTGTACTTTGATGCTCGCCTAACAAATCACTCACTGGGAATGCTGTTCCCTCTTCGGTGAGATACTGTCGCCATGTTTAGGTGACGAATTCGTTTTCCTGTCTGCTTCTAGTAAAAGTTAAGCAAAGGGCCGTTTCCACGCCTTAAGGCGCACTGGGCACATAGGGCTAGACCTGTATTTGATAGACCAGGCGGCACTCGGTGGATGTTATGGTCAAAATCACGCCCTATCTGCTTCTAGTGTTGTTGTTACTGCCGATTATCCGGTGTTTCCTGGAAAAAAAGGAAACTGCAAGATGTTGAGAGAACAATCTTTCTCACCTTTTTACATGCATGGAAAGGTGGTAGAGTATCTTAGTTCTTTTTCGTATTCACCAGCTGTAAACTCTGGCTGAAAGTTCTGGTTGTTCATCCACTTTTGTTGCGTATGCATCATTTTAACAGATCTGACTCATTTGTATGCAAACTGCTGGTTCCTTGCCCCTCAGGCAAATGCACTCCAACTTCAAAGGAAGCTCCCAATTAGTCGACTCTTACGACATGCTTTTGGGTAGGTAGTGGGTCTGTTCTTGTTTTCCCTATAATAGGGCCCCAGAACCCACACGAGAAGTGGCAGAGTAAAATCTGATACAAGCTGTTGGTTGGAGATGACAAGATATAACAGAATAAAGTCAAGGACACTTGTCCACGCCTTTAGACGTATAGGGCATATAGGGCTAGACATATTTTACAAACCAATCGGCACAAGATTGGTGACATAGTCAGCATCTCGCCGGCCGCCTTTACTTCCCGGGAATGCACCCGGAACTCACTCGGCTAATTCGACCTGGCAGTCAATGTCAGTTTTGAAAAAAGTCTAGCTCTGCCAGGTAGCGAACCCAGGACCTTCCGATCTGAAGACGAGCGTCTAGCCGCAACGGCACGGCGACTCTACGTGACAAGATATAGAGAAGCACCAACCCCCCCCCCTCCCCCCACCCTCCACACACACACACACGCATACACGAACACACACATACGCACACATATATATATATATGCACACACACACTGGAGTTTTGATGATACTGATAGTGATGATTATGATGATTATGATGATAATGATGATGATGATGGTGTGTCCTGTGATATCTAGTTAGGCTGTATGGCTCAAATGGTCAGTGTCCGATAGTTCCTCGTGTAAATTTTTCACCTTCCCTCGCCAGGTCTACGCATGCTTGACCAGCCGTTCATGACTGATCTCATCGAGGCTAACGCCATGGGCCACATGCCCAACGTGATCGACATTTACAGCGCCTCCTGGGGACCAACCGATGACGGCAAGACAGTCGACGGACCACGCAATCTGACCATGAGAGCCATTGTCAATGGCGTTAACAACGTGAGTACATGCTGCCAATCACCGATTCTTTAACATGAATTTTTTTGTTTTGGTACGAAACTGTTACTGGTAAATTTAACAAAAAGGTGGAAAAAAATATGTGATATTAAAGTGTTATTTTTTTTTTTTTTTTTACTCTTTGACTGAATAAATTACAGAACAAGAAGACAAAGATGAAAGCAAATTTTTAGGAAGTAACCCAGCTGTGAATGATTGACTTCCAAGTCATTATCATCTTGTTATGATTAATTATTGACTTCAGGTCCAAATGGAATGTTGAATGTTGAATTAAGAATCGACATCACACCAATAGGGACACTCCCATAAGTGCTCAGTGCCAATCTTCAGGAGCAAGCGATGAGTTCCAATTCCGATGGTGCCAGTAACCGTCTGATTGTATATCCGTCTCATCCTTCCCATGAGTGTTGATTGTCGGCCAGATCCCCTGGTAATTCCTCGCAGCGCCATTGTCCTCAGACCGTAATGATCTATCTGCGCCTCCTCACTGTTTACTCGTTCCAAAGGGACCACGCAATATCTAAATTGTCACGCATCAATTCACCACCAAGTTTTGCTAAACCAGCAAGTCTGCCTGCTCATTTCCCAACACACTGACATGAACCTGGAGAAAATATCAAAAGGATGCCCACTACTCGGGACCTCTGAAATGATGCTTGCCACTCTGCACGAAGCATGCCTGTTTTCGCCTTTCTCAATATACTCTGTGAGTCAGTTACAATAACGGCATGTATGTACAGCTGATTCTCAAGCCAGCGGAAGGCAGCAGAGATTGTCTCTACCTCCATTCTCAAACTATATGTTGTGATATCATATGCAAGGCATTGCTGCACTAGGCGACATCCATTCTCCGTGGACTTCGTCTGCCCCTCAACACATAGCCATTTGTATATATATAATCACATCACTTAGGTGAGAGAAGGAGCACTAAAATTATTGTATGGACTTGAAAGATCACTGATAGAAGAAGCAGTGGCAGACCAAGATAAAAGATGGTGGGTGGCTTAAGACAGTGACATGGAAGAATATCATCAGTGGTAATGTTTCAGAACACCAAAGACCGAGATCTGTGGGGATGCATGAACGCCTACGTCATCTGGCAAGGCACTTGGATTTTATATACATATATATATATATATATATATATATATATATATATATATATATATATATATATATATATATGGTTAGTTGCATATCCTTTACAAGACGTTGCAGAACCAACCCCAACAGCTCCTAGCTGTCGTGTGGTTTTTTTTCTAGGCAAATTACGTCCAGTAGTTTGTCATTACTTTCTGGACATGTGTGTGTGTGTGTGTGTGTGTGTGTGTGTGTGTGTGTGTGTGTGTGTGTGTGTGTGAAATTGTCTTGTTTTTTTTAAGTAAACGTGTACTGGCACGTTGAATCTACAAATTGGTTATGGTGAACAATTAAAGTCCCCATATAAAAATGAGGCTCGGGTATGTTCATTTGCGTTGTATTTATTTTATTTGTATTTCATTGATACATTGATCTGTTCCCTCATTGGAGTTTAACCCCTTAACCGAGTCGATTATCATCTGCCGTCAGGCTCTGCTCACTTTATGTCCTGCACATATTTCTCACTTCAGTTTCTATCTTTTTGTCTCTATCATCATCAGGATCATCATCATCATCTTGTATGTACGTAACAAACCGCTCGCAGTATAAATCTCCATTCCCTTCTACCCTTTGCAATCTTGTCGACATTACTTTTGTAATCCAGCTCAACATCTTTGGCATCTGTCAATAACATTCGTCATATGATTTCTCTTGGGCCTTTAATCTTTTAGTTTCCCACTGCATTGCCGTTTTAGTAACCCTCTGTTCGCTTTTCCTCAAGATGTGCCCCAAATAGCAACTTCTGCTGTGTCTTTCATGTATTGGTAGCAGCCGTTGTCCAACATTTCTAGTTTATTATTTGAATTTTTTTTACGCAGGATATTTTATCCATAGTTGATTGGTTTTGGCAACTGTATTGTTTGACTGGATGAGGTAACCAGAACTATTCTTTGCTTCCTCCTTGAGCCCCGGTGTCACACAGCGATCTATTTGTGTTTACTAGAGAAGAAAATTTTAGTTATTTTATCGACGTTGAAGTTTAGATAATTTTTTTGGCAATAGGCGGCTAGCCGTTGATGGCGGAAACAGGAAGGAGAATTGTCGCTGAGCAAGGAAGCGATTACTGTAAAAGTGAGAAGCACGTTAGGAGTTCTTTGCGTGCATTAGACGGATGGTACTGACTGTCTTGTTTAAATCTACCAGCACCAGCAGTCACTCTACTAACGATGTGGTTTACAACACTACCTCCATCAATAACATTTATTTGTACACATTTTAGACTGGGTCGACTTGACAGCCCAAACTATTGTGGAAGCAATTCACCTATAAATGCTAGTCTCCTTACCCTCGTCCCCGTAGTCAGTGTATGGCGCGCTGGTGTAGTAGAAGCTGGTGAACTGAGCGAGGCACGTGTATTAAATGCCAGCTGGGAGTGATGCGGGTCAGTGGACAGGCCTGTTGGGAGTAACGCGAGTCAGTGGACAGGCCAGCTAGGAGTAACGCGAGTCAGTGGACAGGCCAGCTGGGAGTAACGCGAGTCAGTGGACAGGCCAGCTGGGAGTAACACGAGTCAGTGGACAGGCCAGCTGGGAGTAACACGAGTCAGTGGACAGGCCAACTGGGAGTAACACGAGTCAGTGGACAGGCCAACTGGGAATAACACGAGTCAGTGGACAGGCCAACTGGGAGTAACACGAGTCAGTGGACAGGCCAACTGGGAGTAACACGAGTCAGTGGACAGGCCAGCTGGGAGTAACACGAGTCAGTGGACAGGCCAGCTGGGAGTAACGCGAGTCAGTGGACAGATCCTTGCAGTCTTGAAAGATCGATGGGTGATAATAAGAAGGTCACGTTTCATTGATACGTTTGTTGAGCTGGTCTACCTTACTGGAGATTACGGGTGTGCCGCTCTATTGTTTGCTTTCTGGTTTGTCTTGCATCTACGTTTTTATTCATTAAAATAGAATGCCTTTGACATAGGTTTCATCATTTCCTAGAGGGGTTTTGTGTTAGACCCAGTTTGTCGATGTTTTTGAAATGTGAAAAGCGCTGGCGTGCTGAAATATACAACACGTGTTTGCGAAAATCCCTGTAAACGTGTGCCAAAGTAACGGAGCTCCAGATCGAGATAGGCTGAAGGTCAACCAATCAAAAGTGAACTAGTATGTAAAACTGTGTAAATGGGGAGACAAGCGTTAGTTTTACCGATTTATGTAGAGGTAAGTGATCAAGGGGTCCTGCCCCCAAGCAATCCACAGATAAAAGGCAATATTTGCGAAAAAAAAAGAATGCAACTGGCAGAATTAGTTTGAATTGTTGTCGTCGCTGCTAACTGTAGGAACGGAACATTTGTAGGATCCCCTCCACTGATGTGATATTTATTGCTAACTCAGTTCATCTCAGCACTGCCCGTGTTGTTGAGGGGTATGCCCTTGGGTGAATCCTCAACTGACGGATGTTAAACATGACTGTTCACAGTTTATACAGATGGTAATGCTTTTACTTGTGCTATGGGCTGGTCGAAATCTAATAACATTTGCGCCACTAGGCTTGAAAATGCGCTGACGGAATAATCTCAGTGAATTAATACCGTAGTTTGTTGGGCACTGTCACAACAAAGCAGAAAAATATTTATCAGCTTCTTCGTGTTAACCGGCTATAAACTCCTGTGGAACATTCTGGTTGTTTGCCCACTTCTGGACGCTAGTCCTCCTCCAGATCTTGAGTGCTGCGTGTAAATACGTTTTACAGAATAGACACGTGTGTATGCATAGTGTTGGTTCCTTGCCTCTCATGCAGATGCACTCTGCCCTAGAAGGTAGCTCACAATTATTCTACTCATACGACATGTTTTTGGGTAGGCAGTTAGTCTATTCTTGTTTTTCCCTCACATAAACAGGCCCCAGAACCCACACGGCGAGTATTAATCAATGAAATCTACAGTATCAAGGCATATCATTATCCACTAAGCTAATTAGGTATTGTGAAGAACTGTTCGTAGTATCAAATAATTCCCTGATACCCCCAAACACCCCTGCAGACCCCCACCGCCCCACCCCCACCAGAGAAGTAAGTATAGGCCTACATTAATTTACAATATCAAGGCATCGCACAGACTTTCAGATATAGATTCCACTTGCATGTTAAGAGTATTCAGGCATCATTAGGCATCATACAGTCCTGCAAAAGAGACATTCTGCATAAATTCTAACAGTGTCATGGCTCTACACACCTCTAGACAAGTGAGCATCTGCATGAATTCTAACAGTGTATTGGCTTCACACACCTCTAGACAAGTGAGCATCTGCATGAATTCTAACAGTTTTATGGCTCAGCACACCTCTAGACAAGTGAGCATCTGCATGAATTGTTTCACTATTTCGGCATCACCCAGACAAACATGAGATATGCAGTATGAATTCTAACAGATGAAACCATCACACAGACAGAGAAGAGATATTCTGCTCGGTGTTATAATTGATTTTATTCTGAAAGCTGGACAGATATTGATTATACAACTAGCTGACTCGGTTGACCCAATTTTTAGAAATGTAAACGAAGTGTCTGTTTGACATCACGGAGGCCATAATTTGTTTCACAGCGGATGCAGTTTCTCATCATGGCAGCAAACAAGCGGACGCCGCGCTAGCACGATAGGCGTCCGACAAATTGAAAAGGAATCAATAATGTAAAGCTAGCTGGTCGCTGAAAGTATATACAACGGATCAACATCATGACACAAGGGTAGTAACCCATGCGTGCTATGTTCTACATCTATCTCAAGCCAGAGTCCGAAGAATCTCAGGGCAGTGCATTAACTCCGTAGCACCGGCTAGGATCCTGAAATACTTTGAGTAGATTTTTAACTCTAAATTTTTGCACGGGCAGCGCCGTTAGGCGAC